ACTTCCTTATCTGCTGATTCCCTCCTGCTTTCTATATAAGCTGTGACCTTCTGGCTAATAAACGAGACTTGATCAGAATACTGTTCCATTTCTCGCGTCTCTTGTCCCATCCAATTCCCACTCCCCCCTCCAGGGTCTGCATTGAATATCCCATGGGTTGGGACATTTCTGGTGCCCAAACATGGGGCCCTGGATACGGGGGATACCGTGAGGAAGACGGTGCATCAGAGGGTCGACCGCTGAAAATGAAAGAGGAAAACCTTCGTCCACCGCAGGAACCTGCTGCATCAGGATAAGGTGAGTATGTGTGCCTGATAATGGGACAAGAATTAAGTTGTCATGACGTCTACATAAGACAGTTACAAAAAGCTTTAAAGACATGAGGAGTAAAGGTTAAAACAAGTGATCTCTTAAGATTTTTTGATTTCGTGAAGAATCTTTGTCCTTGGTTCCCAGAAGAAGGGACTATTAATTATAAAAGGTAGTCTCGAGTTGGAAATGCTTTACAAGATTTCTATGAGACTTTTGGGCCAGAAAAGGTCCCCATTACTGCCTTCTCCTATTGGAATTTAATCAGGGACATGATTCAGGATAGGGAAAAATCCCCAGAAGTTTCAGAAACTGTGGCCCAAACTGAAAACATATTAAAAGGCAGTTCCAAGACTGACCTCCGAAATCCCTCTCCACCACCTAGGGAGGACGTAGATCTAATCTTCCTAGAAGATGAGAGTGAGGAGGTTAAGGCAGCTGGTGCCATACCTAAGAGATCTAAAAAGTATCCACTATTAAAATTCCAGGATGATGAGGAGGCACAGAATCCTGATCCCTCAGGAGTTGATTGGGGTGATCTGGACACAGAGGCCACTGAATACCATGCACTGGATGATGCATTCTTGACTCAGCCCTTGTCACACCCTCCCCCTTACAATTTGCCCTCCGAACCCATGGTGGTGACTGTATCAGATCCAGATCAAGGGATCATTTCAGACATAGTGAAACTCCTCCACATTGGAGGCAAGACATGCAGAGAGCTCAAAGAATGAGAGTATCAAGTGGTGAAAGATGGATCAAAGGGGATAAGA